ACGACTGGACTGTCGATGGCTCCGCTCAGAATCCCGGTAAGAAGGTGTTGGAGACGGGGATTCCCACTGTGAGCGTCTTGAGAAGCCATAGCCACTGTCCTCTTCCTCCCAGGCAGACCTTGAAGGAGTAGCTGCATCTGAGGCCACAAAGAACACAACCACAGGAAACATCTAACTTAGGTTCTAGAGCTGTCAGCCAAAAGTCAATTCCCCAAATTTCTTTCTTCTGCTATGCATAAACTTTATATCTATTTGTAACAGGTAAGATGGTTTGGACAGTTTTTAAATATACCTGGATTTTAATGGTCCAGTTTTCATGGGTTTATAACATTTTTCTCTTTTTTAAAGTATGTTTATTTGAAAGAACAGCCAATTTCTCTCAGCAAACATACTCCTCATGGATATAAATAATTATTTTTAATAAATCCTCTTCTCCAGCTCCCTATTCTTTCCTGCCATTCAGCCAACTGGCCTATCAGCTTAAAGGACCAGATCCGTCTCGCCAGGTCCAGGGCGTCCCCTGACTCAGAACCAAGTATTCCTAGAGGTTCATAGTGAAATCAGCAATTCTGACTCTGCCCACAGCAAATCAACTGAGGACAGGAGTCACTCGCCCCGCCTTTTATACACTCGACCCCTCACAAGTCACAAGCGATGTCTCAGTCTACCTTTTGGTCGGTGTCTCGGGCTCTCCGGTTCATTTCTTCTGCTGCGCTCTGACCCTCCATCTCGCTCAGATCTGCTGCTGTGTCTGCTTCTATCCCGCTCATCTGCCAAGAGCCACACACAGAGCTTAGGATATATGCGTCCCATCCTAATTTCCACCCGTCTTCACCCTGGAGAAAGGACAGGCCTTCCCACTCACTCACAGGTGCAACCTGCACTGTTCTAATGCGATCCATGGGCTCCTGAAACTCACATATCCCCATTCTCTCAAGGGGAAAAAATAGTTACTGGCTAGAAAGTTTCAAACTCACAGTAACAGTTATTTTCCTGCAAGAATTCAAAAAACAATAGTTACAAGTCTACAGTGAATAGCTGTTTAATAATTACAAGTGTATAAGCTATAAAACTTAAAACAACACTAAGCAAAGCCAGCATTGGATTTTATGTCTAGCTTTGCTCCATAGCACTGTCCTTTCTCTGTCACTGTTGTAAATTCTCACTTCTTGTACATATTACCTGTTATCACCTGTATCACCAACTGTAATAAAACGAGGAGCACACACTCAAGCAAAGCAGCTTTGTTGCAAGTAATAGTTCTTAGGCTGCCTGCTATTCCTAACCCTGACACAATCAAAACCAACAGGGCTCCCTAATTATTGGGCATTAGAAAAACTCCTGCAACAGGAAAGAGGCTGACGTGTTAATTCCAATGTTTAACCGGGCTGCTCTGCCCAGAATATCACCTGTCCCAGTCACGACTGGACTATCGATGGCTCCGCTCAGAACTATATGAATGATGCCGACCGGTTACCTCTGTCTCTCTTGCGGTCACAGTCTCGATCCCGTGATTTCTCTTTCTTCCGATCCTTTTCTTCTTTGGACGAGGCATAGACACCATGCTCCCGCCGCTCCCGCTCTCTCTGCCGACTGCGTTCCCAAAACTCTTCACTCACACCACCAGGATGGGAGGGAGTCTCTACCCGAGCAGACCGATAATGTCTGAAACAGGGAGGGCAACCGGTAAAAGGCCCTTCCATGGGAGAAAAACCTTGCCCCCAGACCTCTGGCTGGCTGACTTGTCCTTTTCCACTTTATCTCCCTGCAGGCTTACTTATGGCAACCACCCAAAGCACTTCTAACCTCCATCCTCTCTTCTTTAGTCGCCTTTGAATGTTCCCCACAAATCTGAAGAAAACACCAATTCCTATCTACCTTCCATATTACAGAATCATAATAAAATCATGAAGATCTACACATCCAATTAGAAAACAGACATAAAAATGAGATGCTATTTCCTAGCCTCCATTCTCATTCCCTTTGGGTCAACCCAACCTACAGCTTTTACCTGTCTTTCCGGCTGTGTCGGCCAGCTTGGTCACTGCCCTCCTCCTCAGCATCCCTCTGGTCATCCTTGCTCTCCTCCCAGTCCTTGTAGGAAGAGATTCTGGACTTCTTCTTGTCCTCCCCATCATCCTTCTCCTCTCGCTCCCTTCGTTTCAGGGAAGCTAACAAGTCCAGTCCCAGCAATGAAGGGCGGGGGGCGGGAGCCTTGAAAACATGCTGCTCACTGGCTGCACTTTTGGTCTTACAAATAAGACCGCCAACCTGAGAGTCCATATCAGTTCCTTCCAATCGATGAATCGAGGCATCCTCACTGGTATCCTCCATGACAGGCTCTGGGATGTCTGTGGAAGAAAGACAACCCATTTTGTACTGGATGTAAGAGAAGGCTCAACTCTGCTATAACCCAGGACAACCAAAGTTAGAAGTATATTCAGGGGATTAACCTCCCCATCAAGACCAGGCTTTGTTTAGCTACCTCTTGCCAAGACCTTTCCATTAAGTCACTGACAATCTCAAAAGATCCTCTGACTCCTACCCCAGCACACATCAGAAACACACACACACACACACACACTTGCACACCCACCAAACACCAGGATCCAAGGGATATCATCCAGGCAAGAACAGAACTTACTAAGGGACACTTGCTGGAACATAATAGCATCTAGAAAGGGATTATAGGGGAAACACCACTAGATTTTAAGTCAAAATCCTCAGCTAGAATGCAAGATTTTGACATTTTCTACTTATATGATTGTAAGCAGATAACTTAATATTTGGTTAGCCATAATTTCTATATCAGTAAAACAGAAATACTTTTTGCTTTATCTAATCCATGGAGTTACTGTGAGAATTAAATACTAGAGTGTATGTAAAAGCTCTCTGTAAATATACAGCATTACATAAATGTGTTATATTATTTTACTTACTGTGCTCCTATATACCAGCTGGGGCTCAAAATTTTCTACCTGAGTTGTTCTACCTCTCCCTCCCTTTAAACTACAGATACAGTAGAGTAGGCACATTGGTGTGTCAAGCTGCCATCCATGTGATCCATAAACTAATGGCTTTTTTGGCACCAGTTGTGTTGTGTAGAAAAGAATTACCTCACAGCAGTTGAAATCTGTTTAATAACAATCCACCTTCTCCAAAAATATTGATGAGAAACACTAGGTTATGAAACGGTGTTCATGAAAAGTATTAAGGTGATTGTAAGATTTTCTGGCACTCAACTTGTAACAAATTCATCTTTACCTCCCATTACACACCATCCATTTATAAACATACACTGATTCCTGCGTGCTTGGGTAACTCCCTTTTCAACAAGTCAGTGAAGCAAAGTAACTGTCAAGGTGTAGGGTACCACCAGAATCCAGAATGTTTTGCCCAGCAATAATTAACACACACGGCTCTATAGAGAAATAAAGCCAAACAGACTGAACACATAACATGAACATACACAGAAGAGTTGCATTTTGAAAAATGCCATCAGGCACAAGAGAAAAGGGAGAGCTGCATATTGGTGACATCTGTGTGCATGAGAGGATATCTAAATAGGAAGGTAAACACATACATGTTTTGTCAGCAGTAGTCTGAACTAGAAAATATACCCCTATAATGGGAAAAAAGGGAACCTCGTCTGTCTTGCTGTTGCTGTCCCAGTGCCTAGCAAAATAAACGTTTGCTGAATAAATGGATGAATGAATTTAAACAGAGTAATGGAGAACGGGAAACCAAACATTTCTAGAGACAGCAAAGGTACATACCAACAGCCCAGGACAAGGCGTCTGACAAAACTTAATTAGCTGCTGAGAACAAATAAGGAGTTAAGGGGCTGGATTCTGGAGAATGATTAATGACAGAGAAGCCACACAGGATACAAAAAAAAACAATTTTGAAAAACTAGATTTACTCATTCAACAATTTTTCATTGACTTCCTTCTGTGAGCCAGTTGCTGTTCTGGGCAATAGGAATAGAAGAGAGAACGAACAGACAAAAATCCTCGCCCTCTAGTCCAGGAGATCACCTAATAAAGATACAACTATGACAGAGAAAAGGAAGACACAGGATCCCTACTCGTGCTCGGACTCGGCCTGGGAGGGGGCTAAAGCAGAAGCCTGAGGAAGGGTGCAGGGTGACCCCTGGACAGCATCCCTGCACCTCCATGAGGCCGCGCCATGCAGCTGGATCTGACCAGATCAACGAGAAAGGATGGGGCAGAGCTGACCCGCGCAGCATCCCTAAGGAGAGAAAGGCAAGTTGGGTGACAGGGACGAGACTTTGCAAACCCGGGCAGGAACCTGAGCGAAGGACCGATATCCGCCGCCAGGAGCTGCCATGATTAGGGAAGGGCAGGTCAGGAAGGAAGAAGGGACACTCACCTCACCAAGCTCGACTCTCGGGACCTTCTGTCCCAGATTCTGGGGCGCCGGCACCACCACCCCTCACTCAGAAGGCCTTACAGATCCAGACACCAATCTTGAACGCGGCCATTATTGTCCCATAACACCTTGCGCGATCCCTTCTATCCGTCCAAAGATACCATCGAGTGCAGCCCGGAAAACGCCTGCTCTTTCTTCCAAGTGTGAGACAGAAAGCGACCGAGCACTCAAGGCTAGAGTGTCCTCCTCTGGGACTTTGATCAGAGACACCGCCGAGTCTCGTTGCGACCAATCACAATTAGTCTGAGAGGCGAGAGGAGAAGGAGGGTGAGGGAAGGAGGTCGGTCATGTTTACTAAGGGCGGAAGTGACTCTACAGCTTCCGGCCGAAGCCGGGCAAAGTGGGCGGGACTAGAATAACCACTTCCGCTTGTTGGACTTTTGGGAGCGACAGCAAGTTTACCTACTGCGCCTGTGCGTTCTCTTTTTCCGTTTCCGTTTTCTCGAGCGGTACGCGGAGAGTTGCTAAGCAGTAGTGGTTGGGTTGCTGTGGGTTAACGCTGGAAGAGAAGATGTCGCCGGCGTCCCAGTTTGTTTGAAGACGGTTGTGGACAGTCGTGAAGTGGAAGAGAGGGAGGTGATTGTACAAATAAAGTAAGTATCGTTTTCCGTAGCAGTTATGGGCCAGGAGTAGCCTAGCCACAGGTTTCGTTAAATATATGTATATTTATGTCGAATATTTTGGAAAAAGAAAGACGCTCTCTCCGATGTAAATAAAATCCACCTGTCCACTCGCAGGCATAACCACTGATGGTGTTTGGGGAAATTTATTTCCAGTTGTTTTTCTATGCAAATGTATACATTTGTATTACAATTAGGTTTTGTACAGCAGTGGAATCACACTTAGTATATTGTTTTATAACTTCTTTACCATGAGAACTTTTCGGTATCTGACATTTTCATTTGTATCACAATATTCAGTGGTCGTGTAATAGTATGTTGCAGGACTGTACTATCGTTTATTTTTCCAGTCCCTTTATTTTAGGCCATCTAGGGTGTTTCCAGTTTTTCATCACTGAGATTATGAGAATATTTTTTTCTGCATCAATTTTTGTGAACGTGTCGAATTAAGTCTCAGAGATGGAAGTGTTCCTCGGATTGTTTTCTTCCTAGAAAAGTTTTGCTCCTCTGTATTACAGCGGGCACCATGAAATGTGTGTCTGTTCACGCTCTTGCACTATTGTTTCGCTTTACCAACTTAATGGCTTTGTCAAATAATCTTCTAATTTGCTTTTGTTTATTATTAAGCTTAACTTTTCAAATATTTTTGTGCATTTGTACTTCTTTTAGTGAAGTTTCTGTTGGTATTTTTTGCTATGAACATATTCTTAGGTGTGGCATCAGTTTTCCTCTCTTCCCTCCAACATTTATATGGTCCCCTCACCCCGCTGAATAGCTTTGCCTTCCCCTCACTTCCTTCTCTTTGTCAGTATCATAGTGGGGGTGCTATTTGAATTCTTGTGGAATAGGTAGGTCCATCCGTTCTTTGACTTTCCCCTTCGTAAGTAATTTGTTCTGCTACTGACATTTGATGAGGTCCCTTCTGGCAATCAACTTGCCTGTTTAAAGAATGACTTATTATGGGAATAATTTCATTTCCTATATGAATTTTATTAGTTAATAAATATTAACTAATAAATATTAGTTAATAAAATATGACTTCTCTCTCTCTCTCTCTCTCACACACACACACACACATATGCACACACATGCACACACACATAAAGAAATCCTCCCTTTTCATAGCATTAACCTACTTTGGGACCAGATTGAAAATGTCAGGTTCTCAATGGAGTTTCTTATGGATGGACTCAAAAATAAAGTTCCTTTCTTAACCATAAAAATAGGTACTGATTATAGCAGAGGGAACACTGCACTAGAAATTTGGTGACTTGGATTCTAGTCCTTGTTTTAGCTAGAATCAAAACTGTAAGTAAACAAGTCTATAAAATGAGGGAATTGGATTGGATCCCTTCTATCTCGGTGTTTTATGACTTGTTTCTTTTTTGTGTAGGGTTGTCCCACACACCCTTCTTAATTGATTTGTTTGCCATGTGGTGAGGTAAGGCATGCACCAAGAATCTTGAAGCCAGGACTTATGATAAGACTCCCATCAATAAAAGACTTAAAAAGTATGGTGCATGCATAGTGGGGCGCCTGGGTGGCTCATTCAGTTAAGCGTCTGCCTTCGGCTCAGGTCATCTTTCCAGAATCCTGGGATTGAGCCTCTTGTCAGGCTTCCTGCTCAGCAGGTGAGTCTACTTCTACCTCTCCCTCTGCCCCATCCCTGTGCTCATGCTCTCGCTCTCTCTCTCAACTAAATAAATAAAATGTTTAAAAATTTTTTCTAAATGTATGGTCCATGCACGAAATAGTATGTTGTTGTAACAACATGTGTAGAGATATAGAAAGGTCTTCCCATGTTAGGTGAAACACTCCAGAGGGCAGAAAAGTGGGTAAAGTATGTGTGCTGGACATCTGTCATTTGCCACTCCGGCTGCACTCTTCCTCTTTCTCTAAACTGGGATCAGGAGACTGGGCTGCCTTCTGCATCTCCACTGCCATCTGGTTCCAGTTTGAGTCAGCCAGTGGGCACATTAGCAGGAGATCAGAGGGAGGGAGAAGAGTGGCTGCATCCCTTCACTGCAGGCTGACCTCCTATACAAGGACCTTCTGCACCCCGTGGTCCCCACCACAAACTTCTCCCTCCCGTGGCCCCTTCAGGCCTAGGGGTAGGAACAGCACCCTGCTCTACTAGCTGAAGTACAACACTGTACTCTGTTGTTTTCCTATACACTGCCTTCATGAAAACCTCTTTAAATGACCAAATTTGAGAATGCCATCTTTTTCCTGCTGGCACGCTGGCAGATAGAATAGGCTATTCTTGGGGTAAAAGAGGGAAAAAACAGAGGAATGCGTATTTGTATTTTCCTGTAAATGCATAACAAAACTGGAAGATACATGAGAACCTAATGAAAGTATCTATGTGGTGTGTGGGGAAAGATAGGCTAGTAGGAATGGGGCCAGTAGAGGGCACACAGGGGGAGGGAAATTTTTCACAGCATACATTTCTACATTGTTTCTTTTTAAGCTGATGGACTTGCCACCAGTTTGTGCGTTTAGTGTTTTCCTTTTACTTTTTTGATACTGTGTTGTATGAAACCATTTTTTCCTCTGGGAATAAAATATACATATAACCTACTCCAAAAATAAAGTTTTTTTTTTTTAAATTAGGACATGTGCACTTAATCTGTCTTTAAATATTGCAGCTGTATTTCAGGACTGACAGGATTACTATTAGGATTTCTCAACATGAGCTTCCTATTGCCCAAGCTAACTAGCAAAAAAGAAGTAGACCAAGCAATACAAAGTACCGCAGAGAAGGTGTTGGTCCTCAGGTTTGGGAGAGACGAGGATCCTGTCTGTCTGCAGCTAGATGATATAGTAAGTGAATTTTTTAAATAAATGGGTTTTATTAAAAATCTATGTATTCTCACTTCAATACCTATAAAGTACATGGAAGGGAGCAGCCAGGCCCAGGGACACAACTTTTCACTTGTTGGCACGCTTTCACTGGCCTGAGCTGAGCCCGCAAAGCTCTTACTATGCTGAGTCTGTCCTAGATGTCCTTCTGTAACACCAGCCATCCAAGTTCAGTTTCACCAACAAGGCAGTGAAGAACCAGAAACACTATTAACAAGCATCTGTGAACATTATTTTACTCGGTCCCCACAACAGTGGGAAAATTACTCTCCCATGGTGGGGGCTAAGTGCCTCACCTGAAGAGCTAGGGTTTGAACTTCGTTCTCTCTGCCTGCAGATAAGCTTTCCTAGCATGTTGCCTCCAGTGTGTGCCTGATGATCTCTTGTTTCATAACACATCTACATACTCTGATGAGCAGAGAGGGGGCTATGAGACAGAATAGGTTTATTCCTGTCTGTGTTTATTATGGAGAGAGACTTACCCCAGAACTGAGATCTCTTCCCAGCATCTCTGTTGCTGCCACCCACAGTGTGAATCCCGTATAAGAATATTTAGTATTGTGACTAAAAATGAGTGTGTTAACATGAATGTGTTAACAAAAATGATGTGTTAACATGAGGGGGAAAGGGGCCAGAGGATTATACCCTCAGCTGTAGAGGGGTCGGAATATCACTGAGCCAGGCTGCCCGAGTTCAAGTCCCAGCTGTACTGCTTACTAGCTATGGGACTAGAGGCAGGTTACCTCAGTTTCTTCATCTAAGAAATGGAGACTATAAAAACCTCATAGGAATGTTGCACGGATTAAGTGAGTTAACAAGTATAAAGCACTTCGGACACTTAGCACATAATAACGGCCATGCAAGTCTTCACTATTTTATTACAATTATCATTCATGGGGGGATTGGAAGGGAAGAGATTTGAGGGAATTTCAATGTACAGTACATAGTTCTGAGTTGTTTTTGTTTAAGTGAACGTGGATTTTATAAATTCACCAAAAGTTTATAAAAACTTTTTACAACCAAAAACAGATTTTTTCTTAAAAAAAAAGTGGGGGGGGATGAGTTCAGTTTACCCAGGGCCCTCTCACAAGTCTACCAAAGGAAACTCAGACTGAATGATAAGATTATACTGTGTCTAATGTGGAACTCAGGAGAGATTCTCGCCTCAGGAATTTCGTTCAAACAGAATATTCGAGTAAGAAGTTTTCACAGAAGAAACCTTAATTGCCTCTCGTATTATGACGTATATGTCTCTCTCTCTCTTTGCAGCTTTCTAAAACCTCTTCTGACCTGAGTAAAATGGCTGCTATTTATCTGGTAGATGTGGACCAAACTCCTGTTTACACACACTATTTTGACATCAGTTATATTCCATCTACTGTATTTTTCTTCAATGGGCAACATATGAAAGTGGATTATGGGTAAGTCTGATTGACTTGCAGTTACTGTAGCGGTGGGAGTTGCTTTTACACAAGTAGTTGCCGTAACTCACCTGCCTGCCTGAGCTGCTGCTGTTTCCTCAGCTGGGCCACTCATTTGCTATGTGAAATGTGGGTGCAAAAAAGAGTGTTTCCAGTGTGACTGGCAGATTTTAACCTCTTGCTGAAGCATGAAAGAATTGTACGATTTGGGAAGCACTGACCATCCTTCAGTATAGAAAATACAGAACAGCTTTTTTAAAAGTTTCCCAGAATTTCATTTAAAACAGAATAGGTCGTTGTATTTAAACGTCTGGGATTGGTTGGCTACATTTGGAAAGAAATGTTCCAGCAAACTAAGACATGCTTCTCTCTGCCCAACTGTCCCGTCTTCTGCCACTCAGAAGGTTTCGAAAACATTCTTCAACCAATTTTGTCAAGAATAAGCACTATGAAATCTTTAACACCTTCCACTGCATCCAGTCAGCATCCTAATACTTAGCATGTATTTTCAGCCCATCTGTGGTTGTTACCATTTCCTGCTGTGGGTGAGGTGTTTGCTTGTCTAGATCTGTGTTCCTGTTTTGCCATTCTCTCTCTGAGCGTATGTTAAATATTACTTGTTTTAAGTATTTTAAAGCTATTTATTCTCCTAGGGTACAGTTAAGTATTATTTTGGTGCAGTCTTTTTCAAGGGTGATTTATGACACTATTTCCCATCTTAAAAGTTTATAAAATTTGGGGGTACCAGGGTGGCTAAGTCAGTTGAGCATCCGACTCTTGATTTCAGCCCAGGTGATGGTCTCAGCATCATGGGATTGAGCCCTGTGTCAGGCGGGGAGCCTAGAGTCTGCCTAAGACCCTTTCCTGCCCCCAACTCATGCACTTTCTCCCCAAAAAAAGAATAAAAAAACCAGCAATTGTATTTCCAGGAATTTCTCTGAAGGAAAAATAATCATGAAAGTGGGCAAAATTGGCTGTGTGGATATTCATCCCACTATTATTTAGAAAACAAAATACAGGGGCGCCTGGGTGGCTCAGTAGGTTAAAGCCTCTGCCTTCAGCTCAGGTCATGATCCCAGGGTCCTGGGATTGAGCCCTGCATCGGGCTCTCTGCTCAGCGGGGAGCCTGCTTCCCCCTCTCTCTCTCTGCCTGCCTCTGTGCCTACTTGTGATTTCTGTCTGTCAAATAAATAAATAAATAAATAATCAAAAAAAAAGAAAAATACATAGAAAGAACGTAGATGTCGGGGCACCTGGGTGGCTCAGTGGATTAAAGCCTCTGCCTTCAGCTCAGGTTGTGATCTCAGGGTGCTGGGATCAAGCCCCACATCAGGCTCTCTGCTCGCCAGGGAGCCTGCTTCCCCATCTCTCTCTCTGCCTGCCTCTCTGCCTACTTGTGATCTCTGTCTGTCAAATAAATAAAAATCTTTATAAAAATAAAAAAACATAGATGTCCACAGAAGGACACTGGATATCAGTTTCATATAATGTTGTGGATGTAAGTTTAATGACTTTGAAAGAAATAGGTTATATGTTAGTTGGGAAAGCACATTACAAGATAGTTTGCATGATATAATTGCCATGATTTTGAAAAAGAAATGCATCTGTGCACACACGCGCACACACACACATTGGAAGGATGTACTGAAATGCAGCCTCTGGCCTCACTAGTAATTTTTTTTTTCTAAAAAATTTCTACAATTAACATAATTTGAAGTTTGAACTAGTAAAAAAAATAAAAAACAGGGGCTCCTGGATGGCTCAGTGGGTTAAAGCCTCTGCCTTCAGCTCAGGTCATGATCTCAGGGTCCTGGGATCAAGCCCCGCATCAGGCTCTCTGCTCAGCACAGAGCCTGCTTCCCTTCCTCTGCCTCTCTGCCTACTTGTGATCTCTGTCTGTCAAATAAATAAATAAAATCTTTAAAAAAAATAAAAATAAATAAAAAATAAAGATTTCATACTCACCATTCAAAAGTATCCATGAGGGGAACTCCGAGACGATGACCAGTTAATGGACTTTCCATAGTGAAGCTGACAGCAGCAGCCACAAACTATGCCCAGGCCAGCGTCCAGGGAGTTCTACTGGAGAAGGAGCTAAGAAGTGATTAAAAGAGATTTCAAAGTGGAGGCTCTTCACGTGATAGGGCTCACATGCCACCCCAGTGGCTGATGGCACTGGTTTTAGTCCTGTATCTAATGGGCCCTGTAACTGCAAACAAAAATCAATGTCAGGCTTCATGTCTTAAGTGTCCCCGATGAGAAGAAAGTAACAGAGCAACGATTCATTTTGTTTATCCTGAAGGTCTGCCACGAGTAATCGCCAGAAGTTCTGAGCGAGCTTGTTTTTCTCCCGCGCTCTCTAGGTCTCCAGATCACACTAAGTTTGTGGGAAGTTTCAAAACCAAGCAGGACTTCATAGATTTGATTGAAGTAATTTATCGAGGAGCAATGAGGGGGAAACTTATTGTCCAAAGTCCTATTGATCCCAAGAATATTCCCAAATACGACCTTCTCTATCAAGACATTTAGCACATTCACTACTCAAAGTTGAAGACAAAGGCACATGTTGAAGCAGTACCTGAATCCGGCTATGCTGTCTTCCTGGAGTCCTTCAGAAAGATGCTCAGCATCCCAGCGAAGAAGAGGTCTGACTCGGACAGAAAATCCCCCGTCCCCGAGTAGAAGGCCATGCTGGTCCCGTGATGAGCAGCAATGCTGAAATGTCTAGTTGCTGCAAACCTCCGAGCAGTCAAGACAACCGTGGTGCGTTTTCCCAGCGTGATTTTTTAAGTTTATATTGTACTTCTCTTTATTCCTTAAGATAATACAGAATCCTTTTCAACATTACCTACTACTGTTTAATTACGTTTATGGGATACACAAGGAAAATAGAAAATTTGTTTGCACAGGAAGAGAAATACTTCTTTTGTGCCCTAAGTGTACACACACAGGCTCCCCCTCGCCCATTACTCCACTCAGGTATTTACTGCGTGACTGCGTGCTCTCCCATCTCCAGTCCCCGTTATCCCTGTTTCTCTTGGATAAGTGATTCTCTGCTGATAGTGGGCAAATTTGTTTTATTTTGGAAACTTTCTAGCTTAGACTTTTAAAATAGTATCCTGGTTTGCTCATTTTACTAGTTTTTATGTTACAAAATTGCCCAAGAAATGAGACCTTGAACCTTTACCATCCAGCACCCAGTTTGAGCTAAGCAAAAAAATGAACTACCTGTAGTTAGTAGGAGCAGGTTTCTCCCAGAAGCCAGAGTTCTGCCTCTCTCTGGGGCAGAGAATTTCGCTCCAAGGACTCAAGACTGGAAAGAGATGCCAGAGTTGTTAGAAGAAATAACATCTTTATGGTATTTGCCCCTTTTAATAACTTGATGAAGAATTCTTGCTCTTCTGGCATCCCCAGCATGACCTGCCCTAACCACTTGGGCAAGTCACTGCTTCTCTCAAAACCTCATAGAGCCTCTGGATCCTGACTTTCTAGAACAAGAGAAGAGGTGCAGAGCCGGAGGGCCAGGGGCCAGGCAGGATCAGCCAGTTACGGGCCTCCTGGCCAGCAGAAGCCGGGTTCTGTGCGGGCCAGCACTTTCACTGCAAGTACGTTCCCCCTTCACCAGCTGCTACCCTTCCGAGCCTCGTCTGCAGGAAGAGGTGGCCAGTGACGGGGCACAGAAGGAAGGCTGCTGGGGGCTTTGGTGTCCTTCGCTGATGAAAGGAGGGAGCCGTCGCCACCTCTGTGTTCTCCCCCTCTCCCTGCGCTGGTTTTCCTGATCCGTGGGACTGCAGCAGCCATCCTAGGACCATGAGGACCAGCATGAAAAGTGAATGTGCGGAGAACAATAAGACCCTGGGTCCCTACTGAGGTTTTGAGCCTGTGAGTAAATACTAGACCTACCTCCCTCCAGACCCCTGTGAAAGAATAAAACGTCTTCATTGCCTCTCACTGTTCGTTGGACTTTTTTTCAGAGCCTAAGTCACACAGTATTTGACGTGGAGTAAGTGCACAGATACCAGCAAAAACACAATTTGCAGGGCGCCTGGGTGGCTCGGTGGGTTAAAGCCTCTGCCTTCAGCTCAGGTCATGATCTCAGGGTCCTGGGATTGAGCCCCACGTTGGGCTCTCTGCTCGGCAGGGAGCCTGCTTCCTCCTCTCTCTCCGCCTGTCTCTCTGCCTACTTGTGATCTCTGTCTGTCAAATAAGTAAATAAATCTTTAAAAAAAAAAAAACCTCACAATTTGCAATGTAAAATTACCCTGTCTCCTCTCCTCCCGAGGTGTTCAGGGAATGTTTCTCTGAAGTCCCGATTTGTGTCCTTGTTCCTACCTTAGTTGCTTTCCATTCTGCAAGTACCGATTGAGTTCATACTGAGTGCCCTGCCCTGTGCCCGATGCTCCCTAAATACAAACAACCCCTGCTTCGCAGAGGAGACGAGGCTTGCCCCTCCCGGAGGGAAGGAGATGCTTGTGTGGAAGAGGAGGAGCATTTCAGGAGAGGGCGCCAGGAGCAAGAAGACCCGATGCTGGAGACAGCAGAGCATGTTCAGAGAGCTGCACGGAATTCAGGGTCCCTGAAGCTCAGGGGCTAGCCCAGGAGGGCAGGAGGTACTGCTGGGGAGGAAGCCAGAGAAGACAAGTGAATGGAGAAAATGCCAAAGGCTTCCTCCTGAATAGTGGCCAGAAGCCACTTAATGCAACCAAATAATTCTTTTAAAAAAAGATTTTTTTTTTTTCCAAGAAAACTTAGTGCTAAAGATAGTACCAGAAGGAAAAGGCATAACTGTATTCTGAGAGGCATTCTGTTCATGTGTGTGCAGTATGTTTCCGCTTCTGGCTCTTCTCTCTTTCACAGGTTTTGGAATAGAGGTGTAAGATCTCCACTGGTCCACTAGCTCTAAGGGGTTGAAAAGTAACTGACGGATGTCCGGATGTGCGTGTGAGGACAGCTTCGCAGGGCAGGGTGGGCCCTGGTGTGAGAACAAGGACCTCGGGGCGTTTTACACCAGTGAGAAAGAGAGGCCCTATTTTCATGTGACAAGAGGTTATCTTGATGAACGGTCAGTGTCCTAAGGGCTTAAATAGCCAGGAAGAGTGGAAGAAGTTAGAAGAGCTTCCTGCTTACAAGGGTTCTGAAACCATTCTTCTGGGAGACCCTTAAGAGCAAGAGCCTGTCTTCGTGAAAGGGAAGACTCAGGTGGCTTGCATTTGGCTCCTGGTAAAGGCTGGGTTTCTTCCACCCTGGGAAAGCCTACCCTACTGAGGAAGATATCTGTACCTCTTTACCAAGTTCCAGAATGTTGGTAGGGACATTAGAGATGATCTGGTTCGAGCCGATCAGAAAGGAAAGCAGGGACTGAAGGCCCTTGGCAGATGTACGGCTGCACTGCGATCTGGACCCAGCAAGTCCAGAACCGCTCCTGCCTTTACCGCATCTTACTTTGTTTTCTGAAGTACCGCTGTGTGGGGAGCACATATAGTAAGATTCCGCCTGGGTCAGAACCTTCATCTTTGTCCGTCGTCTTTGTCCCACGGTGAGCTAGCATCTTCCTCTTCAGCCCACACGCTCCTCTTGCTTACTGCCCAGAAGCGAGAGAGTGCGGGGCAGAGAGCTGAGGTTTGGATTCAGACAGGCCTGGGTTCGCGGTGGGTGACCTGCTTACCAGCCCCCTGCTTACCGGCCGTGTAGCCGTAAGCAGATCACTTGCCTTCTCCAAGTCTGTTTCCTTGTCTCTGAAACAAGGGTAACCGTGACCTTTCTGAGGCCTGCTGTCTGGTCGGCTTGTGGTCACTGAGGGTGACCCCAGCACAGGACAGTTCTGTGCCACCTTAGGGGTTTGTGGTTGGCTTGGGGTGGTTTCTGCCTTGCCCCAGTATATAGCACCACTTAGCTGTTGCTGCACAATAACTAAGGGAACGGCCTGGACTAAAAACCCACAGAAATGACTCAAAAGAAAGCTCTTTATTGATTGACTCCGCACCACTTCACACCAGGTTTTCTCCCCTCCACTCCCATCCACTTTCCCCTCTTCCAGAGTGAGTTCTTACCCTTGGGCAAGGGCTGCCAACAGTCAGTGTTAGTTGCCAGCAATGGTTTCCTGAACCCAGGCCAGAATGGAGGGCACCTTCACGTACACGCCGTACTCAGCCACAGTACAGCTCTTATCAAAGCTCAGGATTCCGGCTGCATACCAGGTGTCCTCATCCTGGTCGTGCACAGCAAAGGCGCTGCCCGCGTCCCCGTAGCAGGTGTCTTCCTGAAACTTGGACATGCCAGCGCAGAAAGTGTGCTCATTCAGTATGGGCTGCACCCCCACGGGGCTCTTGGATGACTTCTTTTCGGGCACTGTGCTGCCTTCATAGTGCTGGACACAGTTGTCTTGATCGGCCACAGGCAGCATGACGTACTTGAGTAGCTCGGTATACTTAAAGTTGGAATTTCGCCCCCAGCCAGACACATAGCCCACACGCCCAACTTGTGCATAATCTTTGGAAGGCAGACAGATGGGCATTACCCTGTCATCAATGGGCACCTTCTGTTTGAGTTTGATGAGCCCGATATCTACCTTGGAGTAGTCAGGGTGGAGAACCACCTTTTCAACCTCCACAAGCTGGTTTTTCCCCACATAGAGTGTTAAAGTAGGGGCGATGTCTTTTTCTTTCGCATCATCCGTATGGCCCAGGAAGAGATTTTTAGCTGTGGTCAGCAGCCATCGCTCGTTGATCAGCGTGGCCCCGGAGGTCAGATTATGGTGCGAGACCATCTTGGCCTGCCAGGGAAAGCTGCCTTTGGCATCCACGGATCCACCCATGATGCGCTGCACCTGGTCCACCGGGTTCTTGGGCTTCCCGCATACTGTCAGGGAGAGCGAGAAAGTCAGGAGCGGGAGTGTGAGTCTCCCGGTATGGGAGAGAGGGGGACGGCGGGGCCAGGTGCTGCTGTCGAAACTGTCATGTTGATTTCTACACAGAAATATCGACGTGCCTTGCCTTTACCACCTGCTGCTCTCATTTCCACAGTTAACATTTTAAAGCGGTTCTAGTAGTTCTGCACTAGAACTTAGTGTAGTTAGTAGTAGCAGAAGAGGGCAGGCAGAATCCTCTGGTCCCAGGAGGGACATGGAAAGAGCAACATCTCTTCCTAATAACAGGAAACAAAAGTCCTAACCCCTTCTGTGGATTTGGCTTGTTTCTGTCCTCCCACAACTCGTTCTTCCTGCTTTACACTTGACTCTGGGCTCCCTGAACAGCTTACGTGAACATACAGGGCCTCCTGACCCTAGAGGCCAGGGTAGACAGTGGATTCAGCCAATATCCTGAAGGTCTAAATGAGCAAGATCCTTAGTGAACTTTGCTGGGGAGTGTCCTCACCTAAAAGCTCGCTTATCAGCCTGACCACTTGTGGTTCTCCCCGGTCCTGCATCTTGGCTCTCATGTGCTTGAAGGAAACCAGTCGGGAAGGATGCACCTTTGGGACCTTTCGATCGAGATGCCTGCCCGTGCAGGAGACTCTCAACACCCACCCTCGGTCAGCTTCCCAGGGCTCCTGGCTTCCTACCTGCTTCGCATTCAGGCAGCTTCTCTCCAGTGACCTTGTTTGTCCAATGCTTCTCACTGTTCAAGGCGTACACTCCTGAAACAAAAAGAAATGAATCAAAAGAGAAATGAGTCTAGACTGAGCATGAGGAGGGATGTGTTTAAAGAGAATTAGAAAAAGAGGAGAAGGAAGGGGAGGGAAGAGGAGGAAGGGAGGAGCGCTGTGCTAGAAGCCAAGGGCTGGGGGTCCGGTGACACTCCGCAAGACAGATGTGTGGTGGCAGCGATGCCATACAGACTAGCAGTGGGTTCAGATCCTGACCTCTCCCTCTTCCAGGCCACCTGATCCTGAGCAAGTTACTCAACCTCGCTGTGCCTCATCAGCACAATGAGAATAGTAACAGGACCTCTTCCTTGGTGGGGGCGGATGTCATGAAAACTCCATGAGCAAATACATGTGAAGCACTTTGCGCACGGAGCACAGTGCTAGGTCAGGGCCACCTGCCATTTTCACTAGTGCCACCCTTGTTTCTTTGACCACGTCTCCTTTGGGAGATGTAGATGTCCCTCTCGGGTGGGCAGGCTACATGGCATCGCCTCCCCTTCACAAAGGGGCAAACTCGAGGCTGAGTTCATTTTCCCAAGAGGCCACAGTTACTGGTGACAAAACCCTTATTAGAATCTACCTCTTCTGGTTCCAAGGAGGACATGTCAGCGTTCTGGCCCATCACCCCTGGACCCGCTCATCACAGAAAGGCTGGGGCAGAGGCGGGTGTGGGGACACTTGTCCAAGTCTTACCGTCTCCTTCAGTGCGCAGTCTATAGAGGGGCTTACACTGGTAGCGAACCAAGTGCTCCACGTAGCCATTTTCAATCTCCGGAGGCTTTGGAACACTGACCTCTGCAAAGAGAAAATCATTGGAGGAGGAGGACGAGACTCGGAAACCGATCCCAGGGACCGAGAAGTCCATTGAGAAAGGCTGCTGTGCACATCAGCCACCCTCCAGCTCAAATGGAAGCCAAAGGGAAAGCCACCCCCCCTCTATCCCGGCTCCCCAGAGTTGTCCACTGGACTGAAACACCAGACATCAGGACAAGACGGAGGAACTGGCTCTTCCCGAAGAGAGGGTGCAGATCCGACAGGGTTGCAAGGAGGCACGGCAGTGCTGAGACGTGAGGCTCCCACCCGAACCCAAACACCTACCTGCGTGGTCTGTGGCCTCACTGCCAGTGTCCGCTGCGCAAAGCTGCCTGCAGAGCAGGAGGGCAATGACCGCTCCCAGGGCTCTGCCGAGAGAAGACAAGAGTGAGCACCTGGCCTCCCAGCCTCACACCCGCACCCCCGGGCACCCACACCCCTCCCACTGGGCTGCCAGAGAAGCAGCTATACGGAAGTGCTGGCACCAAGAAGCG